CATCGCTGCGGACGCGCGCGGGGAGCTGCTGCAGGCCAGCGGAGCGGGCGGCAGTTCCCCAGCAGGTGCGCGGCGCCACCTGGGACGGCTCAGCTCGCGCCATCCGCCATGCCGTGCCGCCCTCCACGCGAGGGCAGACCACCGAAGCCACGTCCTGGGAGCGGAGGTGTGCGGCGTCACCTGGGACTGCGCAGCCCGCGCTGTCCTCCAGGCCGTGCCTCCCGCAAACGCAAGAGGACCACCGAAGCCACCCCCTCCTGGCTAGCGCGAGGACCTAATGCGGGAGCGCTGCAGCTCCTCGCGCATGGCGTCAGGGGGTGGAGGCACCGCGCAAAGGAAACCGGCGTCCGCCGCGGCGCGCACGCACTGACACTCCTCGGGGGGATTCAGCGCAGCGGGCTCACCCATTAGCAGCGCCAGGCGCAGCGCCTTACACCACAGCGCCTGTGTACACCGCATTGCCTGTGTGCACCACGGCGCCAGTGTACACCACAGCAGCCTTGGGCAACACAGCGCCGGTGTACATCAGTGCCTGCGTGTTCCACAGCTCCTGCGTGTACCAAAATGGAGCGCCTGAACGCCTTCGTCGCAGAGCCCACGTGCACCACAACGCATGTGTACACCACGTGGCACGCGCACACCACAACAGCCGTGTGCATCACAGATCCGTTGCCGCATGTACCGCTGTAGCCGTGCGCGTGCACCGCAGCGCCTGCGCAGCCCGCAGGTACCGCCCGCGTGCACCAGAGGTGAAAAGGGTATGGGACTAGGTGGGAGGAGGTAGGATGACGTAGGTATTCTCGGGAGGACGTGGGGAGGAGGCGGGAGGACATGGGGAGAGGTGGGAAGACGTGGGAGGAGGTAGGAGGACTCGCGAGGACGTGGGGGGAGGGCGGGGAGGATGTGGCAGGTGGGAAAAGTCGGGACGGGATGGGGGGAGGTGGGAAGAGGTGCGGGGAAGGTGGGGGGAGGTGGGATTAAGTGGGAGGATGTAGGATGACGTAGGAGGATTCAGGAGGACTTCGGGAGGAAGTGCGAGGACATCGGGAGATGTGCGAAGATGTGGGGGGATGTGGGAGAAGGTACGAGGACTCGCGAGGACGCAAGAAAAGGGCGGGGGACGCTGCTACCTGACACCGCGCGGATCTTTCAATCTTGAACGATCTGCGACACCGGAAGCTCTAGGCCCGATCTTGAACCATGATTTCGCACCGCGGGCTCGCTTCTGCGAACCCGGGGGCCCGACAGGCCTCCCCTCCCCCACGAGGCGCGTCGCAAGCTTGAGCGCCCGCGCTGGCGTCAATGCTGGACCTTCCGCCAGGTCAGCGAACTCAGCGCCGATCCAGACATCTGTGCGGACCTCCGAAACTACAAGTTCATGTCGCCAGCAGACGCTTGATCCGCCTCCGTGTCTCCTGGCACGCCGAAGCGTGGACGAATGCAAACTGTTGTCAGGTCCCTGCTTCTTCCCCGTTCTGATGCATTCGCCGCTGCTCCCCCTCCTTGTTTTGTTGCGGGTCTGAACAAAACAATAGCCTGACAACACCGCGGCGCGCAAGCACAACTGTAGCCCGCGAGTACAACCGAGGCCTGTGAGAGAAACATGGGGAGGATGGACCATCATCTTCGATTGTCACCAAGGCAGGGGTGCTTGCGCGCAAAACGGCGCCTGCGTACACCACAACAGCCGCGTGCAACACAGCCGCGCGCACTGGAAGGCGGGGTTCGCGACACCGCCCGCCGTACGATCGTTACCGTTACGGGGTGGGGTGGTGGGGGGGGGGCGGACCTGCTGCGACGAGCGCTACCCGGGGGGGGCGATACAGATACAAAAAAAATGTGTGCCGTTCCTGATCTGCGCAACATCCCAACAGCCAGGTCGTGAAGGTCCTCGCCATCGAACTCCACGAACAAAAGATTACGGAATCCCCCCCTTGAGTAAACATCTCGTGAAGTCGGCACATTGACTTCGCGTAAGGTGTCCGTCAACCGTGCAGCGCAATAGTCAAACACACACATATATATACAATACGGCATTGGCGCTGCGCGCCATGCACCTTGGTCCTTTGGAATTCGCACGCTAGCGGACTGCGATCGTGCGCACATGCGCACACACATATGCGTATATGAACGCATAGTACATATGTACATATAGAATACGTTTGTACGGATATGTACATGTATATGCAAATGGTGAGTGCAACTATGCGTGCGCATACACATGCGTATATCAGGCGGTGGTGGCCTGACCAGTTGCTCATATCATCGCGCCACTAAAAGGCGCGAGGGTCTCAGGCAAACGCGGCCAGACTACCATGGGGCAGCGCGTCGCCGAGGTCAGCGTTGCGAGTGCGTCCGGGGTGAAAATGGCCTGGACACCTCCGCTCAGGGGAGGGCATGGCCGCAGCCAGCCGTGCGAGGAAGTTTCAAGCGAGGAGCGGTCTGAACACCTCTGCTCAGGGCATCCTCGAACGTAGAGCTGCGAGAAGTCGCGCGCGAAAGTGGCCGAACCGCCATGGCGCAAGGCACCTCCGAAGTGAGACTTGCGAGAGTGTCTCAGGCGACAGCGGCTGGAACGCCTCAACTGAGAGTGTCTCGGGCCCGAGAGCTGCGACGACGTCTCAAGCGAAAACGGCGGGACCGATGCGGAGCAAAGCGCTTCTGAGGTCGGAGTTACGAGCATATCTCTGGCGAAGCGGATTAGACTACTTTCCGTTATCTCCTCTTCCTCCTTCCCATGTTCCTTTTCTCCTCTTCCTCCTCCTCCCCCTCCTCCTCCTCCTCCTCCTCCTCCTCCTCCTCTTCCTCCCCCTCCTCTTCCTCCCCCCCCTCTCCGCTTCTTTTTTTGCCCATTCCCCCCGCCCCTGGCGGCGCGGCGCGGCGCCGCTCGGCCTCTCTGCGAGTCAAGCGGCGCAGGGTGAGAGAACCCCCCCGAATTAGGAACGGTTTTTCCCGGGCCGCCAAAGGGGCCCGAAGGTAATGCGAGAGGCGGCGCAATTCTTGAAATCCCCCAGGGGCTCCTCGGATTCGGCCGGCCCTCTCCGGTAAGGTAGGCAAGGGCACCAACGGCGCGTCCGGATGAGATGGCGCCGTGGCCCCGACGGTTTGTATTGAGTGTTGCGAGAAGCTCAGTCGAGGCGGGAGGAAGAACATGAAGAGGATGAGGAGAAGGAGGAGGAAGAGGAGGAGGATGAGAAGGAGGAAGAGGATGAAGAGGACAGATTATGTGGATATCTGGGGCATAGCCGAGGTGTCGCGGAAGAAATCCGCAGCAGAGACTTGGGAGAGTGAGGAGAGCTGCTTCTGCTAGACCTTTGGCGGGGCGGAACGTGAAACATCACGGGGAATTAGGAGAAGGAGGAGGAGGAGGTAGAGGAGGAAGAGAATGAGGAAGAGGAGGAGGAGCTCTTGGGTCTTTCGGTGGTTTGAACGAATAATGGCCTCGCTGCGCCATTTGATACGACAACGACGACGACGACGAAGGCGACGACAAAGAGAAGGGAGAATGAGAGGGGGAGACCGCTGTGTTGGGATCTCGTGGTGCGCCTCCCGGGGCCCTCTGGGAGGCAGTTTTGAAGCCTCTTGGGGGTGGTTTGGGGTTCTTGGGATCTTTTTGGGGCCTCTTGGGGGCCTCCTTGGGGGCTCCTTGGGGCCTCTTGGGAGCCTCTTGGGGCCTCTTGGGGCTCTCTCCGGGCGTCTTGGGGCCCTCTCGCGGCCGAAAATTTAGTTTTTGGATTTTTGGGCGCCCTCTTGGGTCTCTCTTGGGGCCGTCTTGGTGCTCTCTTGGGCCGTCTTGGGCGCCTCTTGGGCGGTCTCGGAGTCCTCCTGGACCGTCTTGGGGCCTTCTTGGGGGCCTCTTGGGCAGTATTGGGGCGATCTAGGGAGCCTCTTGGGCCATTGTGGAGCGTCGGGAAGCGGGAAAAGCGAGAAGGCCAAAAACATCGAAAAGCACACAAGAAAATCAACAATTGTAGCCTCTCGGGGCTCTCTTGGGAGGCCTCTTGGGGGTCTCTGGGGGCGTCTTGGACGCGTCTTGGGCAATCTTGGGCCCAGATTGGGCGTCTTGGGCCGATCTTTGGGTGTCTCGGGGCCCTCTTTGGCCGCCGTGGGGGCTTTTTTTTCGCGTCGCACTCGCAGGACAGACACGGAGCACTCTGCAGGAGCGCCCCAAAGGCTCGGGGAGGCCGAAATTCGTTTGGAGGGGGGGGGGGGGGGGCACCGTGTGCCGCTTTTCCGGGGTCCCCGACCCTGTAAAAATATACGAATAGGAATATTACCCACCGCTGGCGTTACCAAGCGTTTGCCATCACCATCGGCAGGTGTACTCTTCGAAAGCGGTGCTCGGAGGCCTATAGTGTTGAACCTGATGTTCTATACCCTGGATTTTCGATTCCAACCGTCGTAGAAGTGTGTGATCATGACCTGGCAGAGGACGGCTGGGATGAGTAACTTGATTCCAGCAGCTCGATGCGTTTGGCAAGCTCGTCAATCTCTTGCTCAACGGGCTGACCGCGTTATGAAAATCACGCTGTGATGCTCCTTGGATCTTGATGGCTGTGATGTCCCAGATCGGGTTCAACTGCCCATTCAAAATCTGTCGGAAAGTGTCCGGAATAAGGCTTTGGCCGTCGGCTGTGGATCCGCCCGAATCACAAGGCAAAGCAGGAGGGGCTTGGAACAGTGCCACTGGTTCTGCCAGTGGATAACTGAGGGCTGTCGTCGCCGTTCAGCACTGCTTGAGCAGTTGCCTGAGTGGGGTACCTTGCACGCGCGAGTCGCCGCCTGCGCCCGAGGACATCGACGTGTTCTCGAATGTAGGCGAGAGGCGTCGCCTCTGAGGCGACGCCAGTCGGCGGTGCGTGTGGGGAGTGTGCTGTGGAGAGTGTGGCAGCCGAGAAACCTCCTCGAACCCAGAACCTCGAACCTTGCCCTCCCCACTCTGGCTGGCCGGGACCAGTGCTGGGCCACCTCGGACCCCCAGACGGCTCCAGCTTCCTCTCCCGCACATGCAAGCGCGCGAGCGTCGGCACAGGCAAAGGCGCAATCGTCGCCTGCCATGCTGCCTTCTGCGCCGTGCAGCCCGGCCCACATCCAAGCGGGGGCGCGGGAGGGCGCTCACGCCGCCCGCTAGTGCGCCAGCATGCCGAACAGGGAGTCTTTCTGGAGGCACACGGCCTCTGGCGACGCGCACATGCGGCGGCGTCGTCGTCGTCGACGTCGTCGCGCCGCAACTGGGTGGGCCAGCATGCCGAAGAGTGGGTATCCCGGTCTCCCTGAAGGCGCATGGGCGACGACAACAAAAGGGGTCTGACGCGAGATGCCACACCGACCTTTCGCCGCGGCCTACGCGGGCGGCCAGCGCGGCACGCCGGTGGAGTCGAGGGCGTTTACGCGCGCCCTCATGCGGGCAGCTTGCGCGCACATGTCGGTGACGCATTCGACCCTGTTTTCTTACGCCGATCACACGGCCTCTCGACGCGCACATGCACCGGCGTCGTCGTCGTCGTCGTCGTCAAAGTCGTCGTCGTCGACGAAGTCAGCGCTTTTCGAGACCTCCGGGGGCTCTCGACGCCGCGCGTCCGGGCGAGGCGTGGAGGGCTGGTCTCGGGACGGGCCCCGCGGGAGGTCTGGGCGCGGTGTCGGGCCGGAGCACGCCGAGGCGGGGCGGGCTTCCGAGCGGGGATGGGCCCGGACAGCGCTCTGCGCTCTCGTTTGGTTTTCGTTGTCCCTCGACCTGTCTTCGATCCGCCTTCGCTGCAACACGCAGGCGAAACGAGAACGGCCCACGACATATGCTAAAACACCGCTCACGTCGACCCCTGCTTCCGAGAGTCCAGAACTTGGACGTCGTGATTGTGGTCGTAGCGCGGGCCCCCGGAACTCTGGACCCCTTCACCAGGGCCGGCTTCTCGTGCCTCGGCAGCCCCAGGGGCCCGGCAGAAGGCCCCCCAGAGGCCCAGCGCAGCCAAAAGTCGCAGGCCTGTCTGCTCCTGGCGCAAACAACATGTCTGGGCCTGGCATAGAAGAAAAGCACAAGCATACGTACACACAAGCCTCTGGACGTACACGCGGACTTCTTGCATCGGCGCTGGACCCCACTCTCCCTGGCGGACAGAGCTCCCCGGGGGCGGCGCCGGAAGCGCCGCCAGGGAGGGGGGCCCAGCGCCGATCCGAGAGAACTCCGTGTGGGGACCTCCGAACGTTTGGCACCAGGCGCCACATCTGGGCTGTCAGGGACATTGCTGCGATCAGGGGCTGCGCCCGTAGGAGATTCGTCACCGTGCCGCGAGGCGCACGAGCTCGAATGCCCCAGCCCACATCCCCGAGGTCGTGTTTTTCCGCGTCGTCGACCCCCCGGGGTCTGGACCCCTTCCCCAGGACCAGCTTTTCAGCTCGAGTTGTTTCTTGTGGACGGTCCCGAAGCCTGGTGAGGGCCCCGAGGGGCCGAAAACGGGCGATTCTCACGATTTTCCATGACCCAAGTGGTCCTTCAGTGGAGGCCAGTCTACAAGAAACCTTCCAGAAGAAACCCAACCCTGAGACCCCAGGACGTCCCTAAAGCCACGCTTTCCATAGCAAAACCATGAAACCCAAGAAGCCCAGGGCAGCCTGGAGGCAGGCAGGGTGTTTCTTGGCGTGGGCCTCCGCTGTATGCAATGTTGTTTCTCTTCGATGGCAGCCCCACCCGCGGGCCGGGGCCCGACCAGGGCCTGGGGTCCAGCGCCATTCGTCGTCCTGCTGGCGCCCGCCGCCCCTCGTCTTTCGAGGATATCGAGGACCGAAAAACCGAGGACGGCGCATCGAGGATCGAGGCTGGCTGGAGCATCGAGGATGGAGGATCGAGGATGGAGGAGCGAGGATGGTGAAGTCAAGGATGGAGGGTCGAGGATCGAGACTGGAGCATCGAGGATGGAGCATCGAGGATGGAGCATCGAGGATGGAGCATCGAGGATCGAGGATGTGGAGGAATCTCGGATGGAGGATGGAGGGAGGATCGAGGAGCATGGCTGGAGACCAGATCGCAAGCCCAAACACCATCATAATACAGCAAGACGTACAACGCAGAACACCGTAAACCAATTTCTCAATTAATTCCCTACCTAGGCTCTGCCTAGAAGGGTTCTTACTCTGTTAGCTAAAGGGGCCGGGCAATGGAAACCGCCCCGGGCGGTTCCCCCCGTCCCCGCCCCGCGGTTCCCCCAGTCCCCTGGGAGCTTTAGCCTTAGCTTTAGCTTTAGCTTAGCTTTAGCTTTAGCTTTAGCTGTAGCTTTAGTTTTAGCTTAGCTTTAGCTTAGCTTTAGCTTAGTGCTAGCTTAGATTTAGCTTATGGTTAGCTTAGCTTTAGCTTAGCGTCAGCTTAGTGTTAGCTTAGATTTAGCTTAGAATTAGCTTAGCTTTAGCTTAGCTTTAACTTAGCTTTAGCTTAGTGTTAGCTTAGCTTTAGCTTAGCTTTAGCTCAGCTTTAGCTTAGCTTTAGCTTAGCTTCAGCTTAGCGTTAGCTTAGCTTTAGCTTAGCTTTAGCTTAGCTTTAGCTTAGCTTCAGCTTAGATTTAGCTTATATTTAGCTTAGCTTCAGCTTAGCTTTAGTTTAGCTGTGGCTTTAGCTTTAGCTTAGCTTTAGCTTAGCTTTCGCTTAGATTCAGTTCAGCTTTAGCTTCGCTTTAGTTTAGCTTCAGCTTAGTGTTAGCTTAGCTTTAGCTTAGCTTTAGCTTAGCTTTAGCTTAGCTGTAGCTTAGCTTTAGCTTAGCTTTGGCTTAGCTTTAGCTTAGCTTCAGCTTAGCTTTAGTTTAGCTTTAGCTTAGCCTCAGCTTAGCTTTAGCTTAGCTTCAGCTTAGCTTCAGCTTAGCTAGTTTAGCTTTACTGTTACTACTAATGCTGCTTTCCTAGGGGCTCCAACTCCTAGGTAGGGTCGCACTGGGATAATTGCAAAAAAGTGGGAAACCAAAAGGTACCCATACCGCTACTCCCCGGACCTCTCCCGGGGCGCGTCCTGACCAGGATTTCGGGGGGAATCCAGCGATGGAAACGGGCGGGGGGGTAGAGAGGTATAGAGGTATGGGTACCTTTTTCCTCCTCTGAGAATATAGAGGCTCGCGCATCGATCTTTTGTCGGGTCGGGCGAAAGGGGGGTATAGCAAAGGGGGGGGGGTGAGAATCAGCTCACGCAGCTGATTCTCCCGGCGCCTCCCGGCGCCGGAGGCGGCCATGTATCGAGGAATGGGCCCCTCGGCGAGGCCGAAACCAGCTGCATGCAGCAAATTTCGTACCCCCCCCTTTCCCAATCCCCCCTTTCGCCCGGCCCGATTTTGGAGCGCCGCCCCCCGCGGCCCGCGGCGGCCCCGGCTCCCCGTAGGTGGTGCCGCAGGCCCGCCCTGAGCGCGCGCCGCTCTGGCAGGCCCGCGCCGAGGGCAGGGCGGGCGCCGGCGGGCAGAGCTCCCCGTAGGTGGTGCTGACCTGCGACGGGGAGCCCCCGCAGGCCTGGCAGGGGGAGGAGCGGCGGCACGCGAGCCCGGCGCCCGGGCACCGGGCCAGGCCTGGGCCCCGGAGATCCAGCCTTCTTTTTCTGGTTTATATATGATGATAATAACGATAATAATCATACTACTAATAATAATAATAATAATAATGATAATGATAATGATAATGATAATAATAATAATAATAATAATAATAATAATAATAATAATGATAATAGTAATAATAATAATACTAATACTAATAAGAATAATAATACTAATAGTAATAATAATAATAGTATTAATAATACAAATAATAATAATAATAATAATAATATTATTAATAATAATAATAATGCTAATGATAATGATAACGATAATGATAATAATACTAATAATAATACTAATAATAATAATAATAAAATAATTATCCCGGCAAAGCAACCTAACAGCGATGTGTAGGAGCATATCTGGAAGCATTCCCCTTAAGATTCGGATGAGAATCCAGTTGTAGAATTCTGCTGTTCTCGCAGTCGTAGTCGCATTCGCGATGACAGTCGCAGTGGCAACGGCAGTCGCAGTCACAGCCTCAGCCTCAGCCTGCCTCAGCCTCAGCCTCAGCCTGCCTCAGCCTCAGCCTGCCTCAGCCTCAGCCTCAGCCTGCTTCAGCCTCAGCCTCAGTCTGCCTTCAGCCTCGGCCTCAGCCTCCCTGCCTCAGCCTCGGCCTGCATCAGCCTCAGCCTCAGCCTCAGCCTGCCTCAGCATCAGCCTGCCTCAGCCTCAGCCTCAGCCTGCCTCAGCCTCAGCCTCAGCCTGCTTCAGCCTCAGCCTCAGTCTGCCTTCAGCCTCGGCCTCAGCCTCAGCCTGCCTCAGCCTCAGCCTGCATCAGCCTCAGCCTCAGCCTCAGCCTGCCTCAGCATCAGCCTGCCTCAGCCTCAGCCTCAGCCTGCCTCAGCCTCAGCCTCAGCCTGCTTCAGCCTCAGCCTCAGTCTGCCTTCAGCCTCGGCCTCCGCCTCAGCCTGCCTCAGCCTCAGCCTGCATCAGCCTCAGCCTCAGCCTCAGCCTGCCTCAGCCTCAGCCTTCCTCAGCATCAGCCTGCCTCAGCCTCAGCCTCAGCCTGCCTCAGCCTCAGCCTCAGCCTCAGCCTCAGCCTGCTTCAGCCAAAGCCTCAGTCTGCCTTCAGCCTTGCCTCAGCCTCAGCCTCAGCCTGCTCAGCCTCAGCCTGCATCAGCCTCAGCCTCAGCCTCAGCCTGCCTCAGCATCAGCCTGCCTGCCTCAGCCTCAGCCTGCCTCTGCCTCAGCCTCAGCCTGCTTCAGCCTCAGCCTCAGTCTGCCTTCAGCCTCGGCCTCAGCCTCAGCCTGCCTCAGCCTCAGCCTGCCTCAGCCTCAGCATCAGCCTGCCTCAGCATTCAAAATTGGCCCAGGAATGGAGTTCTGGGAACTCGAAGACACGAAGTGGCCTACAGTTGGCTCCGGGCATTCAAAATCATGCCCAGGAATGGAGTTCTGGGAACTCGAAGACCACGAAGTGGCCTACAGTTGGCTCCGGGCATTCAAAATCATGCCCAGGAATGGAGTTCTGGGAACTCGAAGACCACGAAGTGGCCTACAGTTGGCTCCGGGCATCCAAAATGTGGCCCGGGAATGAAGTTCTGGGAAGTCGAAGAGCACGAAGTGGCCTACAGTTGGCTCCGGGCATCCAAAATGTGGCCCGGGAATGGAGTTCTGGGAAGTCGAAGAGCACGAAGTGGCCTACAGTTGGCTCCGGTTATTCAAAATGTGGCCCGGGAGTGGAGTTCTGGGAGGTCGAAGAGCACGAAGTGTGTGACTGTTGGCTTAAAACGAGCCCGGCTCTGTTCCCGGCCCTCCTCCCCGGCACCCGCCCAGACCCCCCTGTGGAGTCCAGATGCTCTCTTTTGACACCACTAGAAACCTATCAGCAAAAGGTAAAAATAATAGTTATTATCCCGGCAAAGCAACCTAACAGCGATATGTAGAAGCATATCTGAAAGCATTCCCCTTAAGATTCAGATGAAAATCCAGTTGTAGAATTCTGCTGTTCTCGCAGTCGTAGTCGCATTCGCGATGACAGTCGCAGCGGCAACGGCAGTCGCAGTCACAGCCTCAGCCTCAGCCTGCCTCAGCCTCAGCCTCAGCCTGCCTCAGCCTCAGCCTGCCTCAGCCTCAGCCTCAGCCTGCTTCAGCCTCAGCCTCAGTCTGCCTTCAGCCTCGGCCTCAGCCTCAGGCCTGGCCTCAGCCTGCTCAGCCTTCAGCCTCAGCCTCAGCCTGCCTCAGCATCAGCCTGCTTCAGCACTCAGCCTCAGCCTGCCTCAGCCTCAGCCTCAGTCTGCTTCAGCCCTCAGCCTCAGTTCTGCCTTCAGCCTCGGCCTCAGCCTCAGCCTGCCTCAGCTCTCAGCCTTGCCTCTGGCCGCAGCATCAGCCTGCCTCAGCATTCAAAATCATGCCCAGGAATGGTGTTCTGGGAACTCGAAGACCACGAAGTGGCCTACAGTTGGCTCCGGGCATTCAAAATGTGGCCCGGGAATGGAGTTCTGGGAACTCGAAGACCAGGAAGTGGCCTACAGTTGGCTCGGGCATCCAAAATGTGGCCCGGGAATGGAATTCTGGGAACTCGAAGAGCACGAAGTGGCCTACTGTTGGCTCGGGCATCCAAAATGTGGCCCGGGGAATGGTGTTCTGACCTCGAGAGACACGATTTGTGGGCCTACAGTTTTGGCTCCGGGCATTGGCTCCGGGCACTCAGAGCACGAAGTGTGGGACTGTTGGCGGAAAAAAAGCTGAGCCCGGCTCTGTTCCCGGTTTTCCAGAATGTTGCCCGGGGGAATGGGAGTCGTGGGAGGTCGAAGAGCACGAAGTGTGTGACTGTTGGCGAAAAACGATTCCCGGTTCTCCTCCCCGGCACCCGCCCAGACCCCCCTGAGGAGTCATGATGCTCTTTTGACCCTACTAGAAACCTATCAGCAAAAGCTGTTAGGTAATAATAATTACCCTGCGACGTACCCAACCCGATGGCATCACGTGGCAAGAGGAGTAGGGAAACATTGGCAGGAACCGTGACAGTGCAGGCGCGGCGATTTGTAGTGCGACCTACATGGGATGCGTAATGTTGCACGACTCACAGAACAGCAATCGATAAGACGAGGAGTAGGTCTCAAGGCTCGTTAAACAATAGCGGGGGCGGGAACGAGGGACAGGAGAAGGACGAACCCAGTAGGAAGGGGCGAGGAGCCATCGCAGCAGCAGCAGCATGACTCGCAGCCCCCCAGGGATGGCGAGATCTAATCTGAATCCCCGTATGACGTCACTCCGCTGGCCACCAAAGCAGCCCTCGAAAGTGGCGACAGTTTCACAGATCGCAGCCCCCCAGGGATGGCGAGGTCGAATCTGAATTCCCGAAGAGGTCACTCCGCTGGCCCCCCCAGCAGCCTTCGAACGTGGCGACACTTTCGCAGATCGCAGCCCCCCAGGGATGGCGAGATCTAATCTGAATCCCCGTATGACGTCACTCCGCTGGCCACCCCAGCAGCCCTCGAAAGTGGCGACAGTTTCACAGATCGCAGCCCCCAGGGTTGGCGAGGGTCGAATCTTGAATTCCCGAAGGGCTCGTCACTCCGATGGCCCCCCAGAAGCCTTCGAAAGTGGAGACAGTTTCACAGATCGCAGCCCCCCAGCGCCTGCGAGGTCTAATCTGAATCCCCGTAGGGCGTCACTCCGCTGGGCCCCCCAGCAGCCCTCGAATGTGGCGACAGTTTCACAGATCGCAGCCCCCCAGGGATGGCGAGGTCTAATCTGAATCTGCGTGGTGCCTCACCCCGCTGGACCCACCAGCAGCCCTCGAAGTGGCGACAGTTTCACAGATCGCAAGCCCCCAGGGATGGCGAGGTCTATCTGACGTCCCCGTAGGGCGTCACTCCGTCTGGGCCCCCCAGTCAGCCCTCGAAAGTGGCGGACATGTTTCACCGTCGCAAAGCCCCCCAGGGATGGCGAGGTCTATCTGAGTCCCCGTGTTTTTTTACACGGCGTCACTCCGCTGGGCCCCCCAGCAGCCCTCGAAAGTGTCGACAGTTTCACAGATCGCAGCCCCCCAGAGATGGCGAGGTCTAATCTGAGTCCCCGTAGGGCGCCACTCCGCTAGGCACCCCAGCAGCCCTCGAAAGTGGCGACAGTTTCACAGATCGCAGCCCCCCAGGGATGGCGAGGTCTAATCTGAGTCCCCGTAGGGCGTCACTCCGCTGGGCCCCCCCAGCAGCCCTCGAAAGTGGTGACAGTTTCACAGATCGCAGCCCCACCAGGGATGGCGAGGTCTAATCTGAGTCCCCGTAGGGCGTCACTCCGCTGGGCACCCCAGCAGCCCCCGAAAGTGGCGACAGTTCCACAGATCGCAGCCCCCCCAGAGATGGCGAGGTCTAATCTGAGTCCCCGTAGGGCGTCACTCCGCTGGGCCCCCCAGCAGCCCTCGAAAGTGGCGACAGTTTCACAGATCGTAAGAGCAAGAGAAGAGAGGAGGAGGCGGGAGGAGGCGGGAGGAGGAGGAGGAGGAAGGTGGAGACCACAGTGCTCTATTCAAAACGAGTACCCAACGCAGGAGGGCTGGGAATAATAATAATAAGAAGAAGAATAATAATAATAACAATAATCAGCAGAAGCTGTTAGGTAATAATAATAATAATCATTGTAATAAGCATAATAATAATAATAAGAATAACAATAATAATAATAACAATAACAATAACAATAACAATAATAATAATAACAATAATAAGAATAATGATGATAATAATAATAATAATAAATAGTAATAGAACAAAGACAAAAAACAAAAAAGCAGGGCGGGGGCTCTGTTCTCGCAGAGTCCGGCCCCAGATGGGGGGCCCTCGCCGGGCCTCGGGGCCGGCACGCAGAACGGCCTGGGATGAAGAACCGATCCTGGGGAATGGGTGGAGACTTCTGGAGACCCCGCGTTGCAAAAAATCGCATCGGATCCCAGGGACTCCGTTCAGACCCCGCTCCGACGCGGTACGGTGCATAGTTTGTTCGGCTCTGGGGGCCGGAAATCAATGCACCGTACCATTCCTGGGTCGAGAATGGACGACGCCAAGCGCCAACGCGGTACGGTGCACACAAGTCGTCCGCGGAGAAAATGAACCCGGCACGACCCCAATGTGGGGAACTCTTCCTAAGCCGGCCGCGCAACAATGGGGGGCGGGGAACCCGAGGATACCGAGGGATCTCCGAGCAACGGGAAACTATAGCAATAGGAGGCACCGGGGCCAGGGAACACGAGGAACCCGAGGAACCTGAGGAACCTCCGGGCAACGGGCAACGTAAGAATGCGAGGCACGAACTTTGAACCAAGTAGGAACCCCCTAGGCAAGCCAAAATTGGGGGAATACATCGCGCAGCCTCGTCTCCGTCAGGGAGGCGTCGTGACCGAAACTGTGCCCGGAGATCCGCCCGAGTGTGACCGAAACTGGCGCCCGAAGTTTTCCGGCCGCGCCCAAGTGTGACCGAAATGTTTGGTTCGAAACCAAGACGGTTCCTAATTTCGGTCGCACTACGTCTTCGGTCACAACCTCGGGCACGTTTTCGGTCACCCATGTTTGTTCGGTCACCAACCTGTTCGGCTGATAGGGGCAGGATGCCAAGAAAAGCATGAGATCCGGGCGTCACATTTCTTCCACACCAGGCGTCCTGGCCTGGCTTCAGGTCGGGAATGTCCTTCTACAGGCGGATTTTGGACGAAGATTGAATGGAAACAAAAAACGTAAACCATAGATGGACAATCGCCCCCATACTATTTTTGACTATTTTTGAATACTCCTCCTGTAGAAGGACATGCCCGACTCGAAACCAGGCGTTCTCGCCTGGCTTCGGGCCCCAGGCCCCTCACTGGTCGATCCGTTCGGAAAAGGGCACCGCAAAATGGGGTCTGGGACTTTGCCCGTGATTCTTCGCGAGGCTGTCGCAGCGTCGGACCTCAGAGAAAACCGTGCCTTCGAACGCCCAGGTTTCGCTGGCCCTCCCCCCGAAACGGCCCGAACCCTTCCGAGACCCTCCTGGAACCCTCCGAAAAGCCTACCAGCACCCTTCGGGCCCTTCGGGGAGAGTTTTCGGAGGGTTTCGGAAGGCGTCGGTCGATCCATGAGCCAACCCCAGATTTCCGAATAGGCGTAGACGTAACCTTTCGGATCTCCGCGCGGTTTCCTCGGATCCGCGCCGGGACCCCCCTGGCGGGGCCTGCGGGGGGTTCAGCGCACCCGGTCAGGAGGAGGAGGAGGAGGAGGAGGAGGAGGAGGAGGAGGAGGAGGAGGAGGAGGAGGAGGAGGAGGAGGAGGAGGAGGATAGGAGGAGGAGAAGAAGGAGGAGGAGGAGGAGGAGGAGGAGGAGGAGGAGGAGCAGCTGGAGCAGGCGTTTTCTCTCGCCCAGAGACGGCGCCCTCGCTCGGAAGCCTACACGGAGCTCCAAACCCAGACGTCAGGCGTCTCGCTTTGTTCGAGACGCGTGCCTCCGACCTCTCGTCTCGACCATTTCCCCACGGTGCCGGTGTCTCATCCCGCGTCGTCACTTGATGGTCGCGAGGCCCGGCAAGGGCCCGCAGATGCCGAAAACAATGGAGCATTTCGGATACGCGTAAAATAAATAACCCTCGGCAAGAGTGACCTTTGGTGCGCGGCTTCATGGGGGGGCGCGACGGGGCCAAAACCAAGCGCGCAAGCCGCCGGTGCCGCTTTGTGCTCAGCGATGGGGAGAAACCAATGGGCCCGCACCAAAGGTCACGCCTGCGAAAGGTCACTCTCACGTCTAGTCGAACATCGCTGTCCCGATGCTATCGAGACGCCAGATGTCTGGGAAGGCTTTCTGCGTTGTGCAGCGTCTTCTCCCTCGAAGGCCTTCGCCGGGCTTGGCCGGCGCCAGGCGCCGCCGCAGGGGCCCACCATCGAGCCCCAGGACGCCTCCGAGGGGAACGCTTAGACGCGGTCCAGTCTTCGACGCTGCGATTATATGGAGGGCGTCTGTGTGTATATATATATACACACAAGACTGCATTGGCGCTGCGCGCCATGCACCTTGGTCCGTTGGAATTCGCACGCTAGCAGAATGCGAGCGTGCGTACGTGCGCACACACATATGAGTCTATGAATGCATAGTACATATGTAATATGTTATACGTTTGTATGGATAGGTACATGTATATGCAAATGGTCAGTGTAACTATGCGCACGCATACACATGCGTACATCAGACGGCGGTGGCCTGACCAGTTGCTCATATCATCGCGCCACTAAAAGGCGCGAGGGTCTCAAGCAAACGTGGTCATACGACCACGGGGCAATGCGGGTGAAAATGGCCTGAACACCTCCGCTCAGGGGGGGGCGTATCCGAAGTCAGCCGCGCGAGGAAGTTTCAAGCGAGGAGTGGTCTGAACACCTCTGCCCGGGGCATCCTTGAACGTAGAGTTGCGAGAAGTCGCACGCGAAAGTGGCCGAGCCACCACGGTGCAAGGCACCTCCGAAGTGAGACTTGCGAGAGCGTCTCAGGCGACAGCGGCTGGAACACCTCAACTGAGAGTGTCCCGGGCCCCAGAGCTGCGATGATGTCTCAAGCGAAAACGGCGGGGCCGATGCGAAGCAAGGCGCTTCTGAGGTCGGAAGTGCGAGCATATCTCTGGCGAAGCGGATTAGACTACTTTCCGTTATCTCCTCTTCCTCCTTCCCCTTTTCCTTTCCTCCTGTTCCTCCTCCTCCCCCCCCCATCCTCCTGTTCCTCCTCCTCTTCCCCTGCCCCCTCTCCGCTTCTTTTTTGTCCATGCTCCCCGTCCCCGGCGGCGCGGCGCGGCGCCGCTCGGCCCCCCTGCGAGTCAAGCGGCAAAGGGCGAGAGAACCCCCCGAATTAGGAACGGTTTTTCCCAAGCCGCCAAGGGGGCCCGAAGGTAGTGCAAGAGGCGGCGCAGGTTCTGAAATCCCCCAAGGGCTCCTCGGATTCGGCCGGCCCTCTCCGGCAAGGTAGGCAAGGGCGCCAACAGCGCGTCCGGATGAGATGGCGTCGTGGCCCCGACGGTTTGCATTGAGCGCTGCGAGAAGCTCAGTCGAGGCGGGAGGAGGAACATGAAGAGGACGAGGAGAAGGAGGAGGAGGAGGAAGAGGAGGAGGATGAAGAGGAGGAAGAGGATGAAGAGGACAGATTCTGTGGACATCTGGGGTGCAGCCGAGGTGTCGCGGAAGAAATCCGCAGCAGAGACTTGGGAGAGTGAGGGGAGCTGCTTCTGCTAGACCTTTGGCGGGGCGGAACGTGAAACATCACGTGGAATTAGGACAAGGAGGAGGAGGAGGTAGAGGAGGAAGAGAATGAGGAAGAGGAGGAGGAGCTCTTGGGTCCTTCGGTGGTTTGAACGAAGAATGGCCTCGCTGCGCCATTTGACACGACAACGACGACGACGAAGGCGACGACAAAGAGAAGGGAGAATGAGAGGGGGAGACCGCTGTGTTGGGATCTCGTGGTGCGCCTCTCGGGGCCCTCTGAGAAGCAGTTTTGGGGTTCTTGGGATCTTTTGGGGGCCTCTTGGGGGCCTCTTGGGGGCTCCTTGGGGCCTCTTGGGAGCCTCTTGGGGCCTCATGGGGTTCTCTCCGGGCGTCTTTGGGCCCTCTCGCGGCGGAAAATTTAGTTTTTGAATTTTTGGGCGCCCTCTTGGGTCTCTCTTGGGGCCGTTTTGGTGCTCTCTTGGGCCGTCTTGGGCACCTCTTGGGCGGTCTCGGAGCCCTCCTGGACCGTGTTGGGGCCTTCTTGGAAGCCTCTTGGGCAGTATTGGGGCGATCTAGGGAGCCTCTTGGGCCATTGTGGAGCGTTGGGAAACGGGAAAAGCGAGAAGGCCAAAAACATTGAAAAACGGACCTCTTACAGGCGCCCTGGCGCTCTCCCCGAGGCGCTGGCTGCATTTTGATCGAGAATGAGGCTCACTCTCAAGCGGTTTGGGGGACCGCCAAAACCGGCCCCCCAACAACAACAACGCTCCCGCTCGAGGCTTCCTCTTTGTTTGCTCAGACCTGGTGCTGTTGCTCGCTGCTGAAAGCAGCCGTCTCTACAAAACCAGCGATCCCGCTCGAGACTTCCTCCTGTTTTACCTTGGACAGGCGCGCTACTCTTTCTCTCATCGGCGCCGCCCCCCAGCAACAGCAACGCTCCCGCTCGAGACTTCCTCTCATTTTTACTCAAGGCAGTGCTTTTGCTCGCCGCCGATAGCCCCCGTCCCGACAAAACCAGCGCTCCCGCCCGGGACCTCCTCCCGTTTTACGCTGGACAGGCGCCCTACTCTCTTTTGAATGGGCGCCGCCCCCAGCAAAAGCAACGCTTCCGCTCGAGACTTCTTTCTTTGTAACCAGAGCCGGTGCTCTTGCTCGCCACCGAAAACCGCCGCCCCAACAAAACCAACGCTCTCGCTCAAGACTTCTTCCCGTTTTGCCTTGGACTGGCACGCTACTCTTTCGCTCATCGGCGCCGCCCCCAGCCAAAACAACGCTCCAGCTCGAAACATCCTCTTTTTTTGCTCAGACCCGGTGCTGTTGCTCGTCGCCGAAAGCAGCCGTTTCAACAAAACCAGCGCTCCCGCTCGAGACTTCCTCCTGTTTTACCTTGGACATGCACGCTAATCTTTCTCTCATCGGCGCCGCCCCCCAGCAACAACAACGCTCCCGCTCGAGACGTTTATTTTTTTTTGGGCTCAGAGCCAGTGCTGTTGTTCGCCGCCGAAAGCCGCCGCTCCAACAAAACCAGCGCTCCCGCCCGGGACCTCCTCCCGTTTTACGCTGGACAGGCGCCCTACTTTCTTCTGAATGGGCACCGCCCCCAGCAAAAGCAACGCTCCCGCTCGAGATGCTTTACTCAGAGCCGGTGTTTTTGCTCGCCGCCGAAAGCCGCCGCCCCAACAAAACCAACGCTCCCGCTCGACTTCCCGTTTTACCTTGGACAGGCACGCTACTCGTTCTCTCATCGGCGCCGCCCCCAGCAACAACAACGCTCCCGCTCGAGACATCTTCGCTTTTAACTCAGAGCCGGTGTTTTGCTCGCCGCCGAAATCCGCCGCCCCAGCAAAACCAGCGCTCCCGCTCGAGACTTCCTCGTGTTTTACCTTGGACTGGCGCGCTACTCTTTCGCTCATCGGCGCCGCCCCCAGCAAAAACAACGCTCCCGCTCGAGACATCCCCACTTTTTACTCAGAGCCGGTGCTGTTGGTCGCCGCCGAAAACCGCCGCTCCAATAAATCCAGCGCTCCCGCCCGAGACATCCTCCCGTTTTACGCTGGACTGGCGCCCTACTCTCTTTTGAATTGGCGCCGACCCCAACAAGAACAACGCTCCCGCTCGAGGCTTCCTCCCTTTTTCCTGAGGACAATGTTCTTGCTCGCCGCCGACAGCCCTCGTCCCGACAAAACAGCCTCGAGACGTCTTCCCTCCTTACTCAAAGCGGTGCTCCTCCTCGCCGCCGACAACCGCCGCGCCAACAGAACCAGCGTTCCCGCTCGAGTCCCCCCCCTCCTTACTCAAGGCGGTGTTCCTCCTCGCCTCCGGCAACCGCCGTCCAAACAAACCAGCGCTCCCGCTCGAGATTTCGCTTTGTTTTACGCTGGACTAGCGCCCAACTTTTTTCTGCATTGGCGCCGCTCCCAGCAACAACAGCACACCTGCTGGATAATTCCTCCCTTTCTATTCAGGGCCAGGTCTTTGCCTCGCCGCCGACAGCCCCCATCCCCACTAAACCAATCATGTCGCTCGATATTTCCTAGTGCTTTACACTGGGCTGGGGTTCCACTGGCGGTCTCGCATCGGCGCAGCAGGGCGCGGGTATGTGTTTTCGAGGCGGGATCCGTTGAACTTCCTCGGAGGAGATGTTTGCAAGACATCATTGGGTGGGAGATCTAGGAGTGGGAATAACGGACCCCCGCGATTGAACAATAATCCCCATGATAAGGATGGTTATCCTGATGGTCGCATGATGCGTGTGGAGGCATCGCGCGTGAGGGCAACATGATTGTTATTGTTGCTGCTGCTGCTTGTGGTTATTGTTGTTGTTGAACATTATTTCTTCTTAAGAATAATTATTGTTGGGACCCCTGGTGCGCGACCCCCCCGCCGCGCCTAGGCCGCAGCCACATTTTCATCATTTTCGTGAGGAAGTCTCAGGCAAAACGATTGGTACCGGATCCGGTTTTTTGTTGACGCTCGTTTTCCCTTGCAAAAAACAATAGAAAATGAAAATTCTTGTTCTTAGTTGCTCAAATTGCAAGAATCCCTTGCAAAAAATAAGGTAAAGTGGACATTCGTGCGCGCAAGACGAAATCCTTCCAAAACCTTAGGTTTCGTAGCGATTTACACATAAAAACATCAAAAACCCAATGGTTACACACATCAAGCCGCACAACATGGTCCTTACCGCGCAGCGCGCGCTGTCTCCGAATCACTACTACTAAAACAATGGTTTTTTTCAAACATTTATGTTACATGAGCTCGCATGCGGAGCTACTTTTTCTTGTCTAACATAATCAAATTTATAATCAAATTTCATAATCCTTCAAAAAATAAGGTAAGTGACATTCGCGCGCGTCAGACGAATCCTGTCCAGAACTCTGTGTTCGTAGCGATTTCACATAAAAACATCAAAGAATCAATGGGTTTTTCAAAAAAAAAATGTCCAAATTTCATCCCGCGCGCGCTGTCCGACTCCCACAAAACCAATGGTTTTTCAACATTTATGTTACATGAGCTCGCGCGAGCTACTTTTTCTTGTTCTAACATAATCAAATTTCAATACTCCCTTGCAAAAAAAAGTAAAGTGACATTCGCGCGCGCAAGACCAACAAAAAACACGACGATCTTAGGAACTTGCCCCAAAAATGTGACCAACTCCGCTCTCTCTGTCTCTCTCTCTGTCTGCTCTCTGTCTCACTCTCTGTCTGTCTGTGTCATGTATTGTATGTCACAATTGCAGGATGCTGGGCACATGCGCGCCCCGAATAA